TAGTTCAATAAAGCTTTTTATTTACTTACTCACACAGAGAACAGAAATGAGGCAATAAATCAGATTGAGAGTCAAGATATTCAGCCATCCATGCCCACCTATCAGATAAAATAGCATCTGGGGTCTTAAAGGTGTGATTCCAAACAAGCAGCCATCTAAGTGAGATGTCAACTAAGTCCACGTAGAAGAAGTACACCAATTTCAGTGACCGGAGGATTGTAAATCACATACTCTGAAGCCGAAGGAGGGAAATTGTGAGATTCTGGTTTACAGAAGGCTATGGATGAGTGGAAAACCAAGATCCATTTGTGAGATGTACACAGGAAAGAAGCCTCTGGTGATTTCCCTCTATCCACACTCGAGGGATGGGAATCAACTGATTACCAAACAGAGCATCGGAGAGATGACTACAGGAGATCAAAATGAGAAACCTAACTTGATTGACTAAAAACTTGACACTTGATTCCCCACCCCACCCTCAATAACACTTTGGGCCTGATCTGGTTTTCAATACTTTTTTGTGCTGTTGTTACTTTTTGTCTTTTGTTTTTCTTCCATATTGGGGTTTATCTCTGATGTATTTTGTCATTGTGGGTTGCTCTCTTGAATTTTTGTTATTGGTTTTCCTGGTTTGGGGGATATGAAACCCAGGTTGAGGACCTTATAGAGAGAAGTAGAATAAAGATGCTGGGGAGGACAGAGGGGAAGGGGAGGAAAGGGTAACTGATATCAAGGGGTTCAAGAAAGAAAATGTTTTGAAACTGATTGTGGTAGCAATTGTCCAACACTGCTTGATGTGATTGAACTATGGAATGGTATGATATCTGTAAGAGTTTGCCATAAAATGTTTTGGGTTTTTTTGGAGGTGCAGGGGGCGACATTCAACCATCCATTCATTCTTTTGCTAAATAAAAATCTGTACACTACTTTAGAGCCAAGCAATGGGCACTGGAAAATAATTAAGTCCCTGACCCTAAGGACTTCTTGGAAGAAACATGATGCCGTATTTGAAAATGCCATCAATTATAAAGTGAACTTTTAGTTTTAAAAAATTGTAATTACACTATGACATAATGCCTTGGGTGAATCACACCAGCCTATGTTTGTTTTTATTTTTGCTTAACCTATTCAGAAAAATAGAACAGTTTTTGCTGCTTTCAATATATTGCTTGGCATTTTCAAAGGTATCAGCCTTTACACATCTCAGTACAAAACAAGGATGATATGGCAGGCGCTGTCACAGACCTGCATCCTTGGCAACCCTCTGGCACATTCTTCTTTGTCCCAAAAGGTCCCTATGAGGTGGAATCGACTTGAGGAGTATGGAATTGGGATGGTATCTCTTCAGTGACAAATGTTTCCTTCCCCGATTACCAAATGTCCTTCCCCCAGCGGTGTTTCTGTCCTTTTTGATTTTTTTTAACTCAACAATGTTTTGTTTCAATGCCAAATCATAATGAAATATTTTAAGGACTTATCAGCAGCAATTTAGCCCAATACATGTAGTGCTGATATCTCCACACACTGCAACTGAAACAATGGCACTAAGATACAGTTCTCCATTTGTACATGTACAGGCAATGACAGCCTGATGGGACTGCACCTGAGCACTGGCCACTGGAAGACACCGTCGACTGTCAGGTATACCCCAATTTCAGAGATGTTCAAATGAGAACAAGTCTGTCCTGGTAGTAAGCACGCCTGGACCAGTAAGCAGTAAGCACCCTTCTATGGACTTCACATACATTACCTCACAGAAACCCGTAAGGTAGGAGGAAATGGGGCAGCAACCAAAAAAACCAAACAAAACAAAACCCATTGCCACTGAGTCCCTCCCTAAGTCTGCTACCCTCGGCAGTGAGCAGCCTATCGCAGAGCCCGCTATGCCACCTTAATGGGGTCACAGAAGAATTCATTTGTTTGCCCAAGCTAACATGCGGCAAGGTCACTGTGGAATCCAGGAAGTTTAGGTCCAAAGGCTGTACTTCTAAATATCACGCCATGCTGCCTCTCAAGCAAATAACCAATAACTAGTTTTGAGATCTCTGGCAAAATGTAAGGTGCACGCCATTATGGATTTGGAAAAGGAGAAAGCTGGAACGTATAGTTACGGAGTTCGCTTCCAAAAATAAAAATTTTAATCCATCATCATCCACAGGGTACATTTACTCTCACGTTGGTGTCTCCTTGTCACTGCTGTGGAGTTGCTGCCAACTCATGGAGACCCTGCAGGACAGAGTAGAACTGCCTCTGTGGGTTTCTGAGACTATAACCCTTTCAGGAAGCCGAGAGCCTCTCTTGCTGAGCAGCTAGTGGTGGTTTCAAACCGCTGACCTTGCGGTAAGCAGTCCATCACATAACCACTATGCCACTTAAGCCAATGCAATTTAAAGAACTTTACTATCAGTAACTAAATAATAGAAGGTGTGTGTTTTGCGGGGGGGGGGGGGGGGAATAAGTCAAGAGTGGTTTACTTATTTATTCTTTTCCAAACGGGAGTGTACATTTTTACTATTAGTCTAACATAGGCATGATTAGAGAAGTGCTTG